TGTGGTGCTGGGGGACTGAACCGCGGTCCCTGATGCTTTTGCTAAGCTTGTTCTAAGTAGGTGCTTTAGACCACTGAGCCATCTCTCCAGCCCCCGATAGCCTAGTTTTAGAAAAACAGCTGTTATTTATTGAGCACCAAGATTCCAGACACTATGCCGGACCCTGGGAAGCCCTTCATCTCATTTAACCCTCATGGGATATAGCTCAGCAGGCATGAGCTCCAGTCTGGCAAGTGCAGGGTCCTGAGTTCAATCCCAGGTACTGCATCAAACCCAGTGTACACTTTAGAGAACCAAGATTGACATTAAATAATCAAGCCCAAACATAGCTAAGTGGCAAAGAACATATTGTCCCCAGCATGCCGTGTTCCCCATGCATTTGCTCTCTATTTCCTCTTGAGAGCAGCCCTGTGAGGTTGGCATCGATACCCACATTTCATAGATTAGAAAGCAATCCAGTAGACAGATGACGCTTTTAGACAGGAAGATTCCTGAGCATGAAGACCTCAGTTCTCTTTGAGTAAAAGTAGAATTTTAGGCCGGGTGTGGTGGCCCACACCTGAAATCCAGCCCTCTAGGAGTCAGACAGGAGAAGATGGCTCAGTGGAATAAGCACTTCCCTGGCAAGCGCAAGGGCCTGAGTTCAATCCCTGGTTCTGCAAGAAAAACAAACAAACAACCCAGTCTGAGCAGCTTGGTGACTTCGGGAGACTTGTCTCCTAAAAAAAATAAACAAAACTTAAAAAATGTATCTGAGAATAGCTCAGTATGAAGGTCTGGGTTCAACCTTCAATCCTAAAGAAAAAAACAGAAATTTAGCATAATTCCAACAACAGAACTAGTAAAATTAGGGCCAGTGGGATAGCTCAGCAATCTAAAGGACCTGCTTAGGCAAGCTCAGGCACCATGGATCCCCAGTACCACGTGGGGGCGGCTGAGCTGGCCACACACACACACACACACACACACACACACGAACTAGTAGAATTAATAAGATTGTGTGTGTGTGTGTGTGTGTGTGTGTGTGTGTGTGTGAAGCCATCATGCTTGTTTCTAACATTTACATGGAAAAATAAAACCAGTCATTTAAAAAATCTTTAAAAAAGAACTAGGGGGAATGGGGAGATGGCTCACTAGAATAAGTGCTTGCCTGCCTGAGTTCAATCCCCGGTTCCGCAAAAAAAAAAAAAAAAGAAAAGAAAGAAAGAAAAGAAAAGAACTAGGAGGGGAAAGCTAGCACAATCACATACAGCACTGCTCAGGCCCCTGCAATTACCAGACAGGTGCTTATTCCACTGAGCCATCTCCCCGGCCCCTCCACTTTTTTTAAAAAAACAAAACAACAGGTCCTCACTATGCAGTTCGGACTGGCCTTGTGCCCATTTTTGCAGCCCCCAGCCTGGTCTTGAATTTGCAGCGATCCTCCTGTCTCAGCCTCCCAATTGCTGGAATTACAGGCATGTGCCACCACACCAGGTTGAGCCTCCATATTATCTGAAGCTGGTGCACAAAAAGCCAGGCCAATGGAGCAGGACAAAGTACAGGAATCGATCCAGGCACATGCAGAAAGAAGCTAGCATGGCACCTGGCCCCGCAGCAGCCCTCAGTGGGCTGGGTGGACCAGTTCACTGCCTCTGCCCTGCTTACATCCTGCAGGCCATCTCATCAGCTATGGCCAAACCAGGTGCCTGGAGTCCATGGGGCAGGGCGTCTGCAGCCTGGAGGCGCAAGTCTTTCCCAGTCCCAGTAACATATGGGGTCCCTGGCTCTGAAGGGAGCCTGCTTGGAAAAGGAGGGGAAGTTCACACCTTGGCATGACTTGAGTGACTGGGGAAGAAGGAAGGACGAAGCACAGGGCAGAGGCTCACAGAACTGCAAACTCTGCTCACCAACTTGGGCTACCTGACAGACGCTCCACCCACCCTGTAAGCACCCCATAAGCAAAACACTCAGTGCTGTGCATGTAGAGCTGTTTTCCCAGTGTTCTCAGTAAATGTTCCTATTATATCTTAATTTTCAAAAAGATTGAGACAGCCTAGATGGTCAAAAATGTAATTGTGGGTGTGTGTTTTTTGTTTTTATTGTGTTGGTAGTATTGGAAATTGCCCCCAGAAAGTGGAGCTTTCCATTTTATTTATTTATTTATTTATTTATTTATTTCATTTTATTTTATTTTATTTATTTTTGGTGGAACCAGGGATTGAACTCAGGCCCTTGCACTTGCCAGGGAAGCACTTATTCTACCTAGCCATCCCATCTCCCCGGACCTTAATTTTTTAAATTTTGAACAGTCTTTTTCTTTTTAAATTGAGATAGTGTCTTCCTCTGCAGTCCAGGCTGGCCTTGAACTCACTCTGTAGCCCAGGCTGGCCTCAAATTCACAGAGCTCTTCCTGCCTCGCTGTCCTGTGTGCTAGGATTCCCGGCATGTGTCATCATGTCTGGCCTCCAGAGTCTTGTTATGTAATCCAGGTTCACCTCAAACTCACAACCCTGCCTCAGCTTCCTGAGTGCCTCTGGGATACAGGAGTGAGTAACTACATACAGCACATGGACAGTTTTAATTTTCGAACATTGGGTAAATGTCGAGTATTACCACGACCGCCCTCTTCCGCCGCCTTCCTGCCTTCTTCCCTCCCTGTGTACAGCTTCTGCCCTCTGTCTGGGGGCACTTCAGTGTCTTCCCCACCTGCTGCCCGGGACGTGGGCTAAGCGAAGTCTCAAGTCGGCCTTTTCTACACAGCTTCTCTCGTGTTTCGCCTCTGCTGTTATCCTTGCTATTATCACAGACCGCATGTGCTCACCAGCAGTATTTTTTTGGGTACTGGCTTTTTTGAGATATAATTCATGTACTATACAACTCACCCCCTCCCTTTTCAAGATTGGGTATTGAACACAGAACCTTCACACGGAGCCACATTCCCAGCCCTTTTAAAATTTTGTTCTGCTTTGTTTTGAGACAGGTCTTGCTGTGTAGTTCAGGTTGGCCTTAAGCCCCCCAGTGATCCTCCTGCCTCAGCCTCCCAAGTGCTGGGATTACAGGTGTATGTGCCACAGTGCCTGGCAAAATTCACCCATTTAGAGTGTAAAATTCAGTGTTTTAAAGTATATTCACAAATTTTTATGACCATAACTATCATCAATATGGGATATTTTCTCCATCACCTCCCTCTAAAAAAAACCTATTCCACTGACTCCAAGTCATCTCCCCTCACACTCTTCCCTCTTTGTCTCCATACTTTTGCCTGTTATAGAATTCATGTAAATAGAAACTATGCTACATGACCTTTTGTGTCTGGCTTCATTCCTTAACATCATGCTTTTCAGTTGTACTCCAGACCATGTAGTAGGACTTCATTCTTTCTGATGGATGAGCAACATACCACTGTGTGCATCTGTCACATTTTATTGATACATTTGTCAGTTGGTGGATTATTTAGAGTAGTTACATTCTTTAGCTGTTCTGAATAACATTATCACATGTGTACAGTTTTTATTTGAACATGTGCTCTCTTAGGTGTGTACCTAGGGGTATAATTGCTGGGCTGTCTACCTCTTAAGCATCTGAGCAATTGCTAGCTTTCAAAGTGGCTGTGCTATTTACATTTCCCCAGCAATATATGAGGCTCCAAATTCTTTTTTTTTTTTTTAAAGAATTATTTATTTATTTATTCATTCATTTATTTTGCTGTGTGGCCAGCTTAGCCCACCAGGGGGCGGGGCTGGCTGGCATGTGGTGCTGGGGGATTGAACCGCGGTCCCTGTGCTTTGCTTAGCTTAGCTTGTTCCAAGTAGGTGCTTTAGACCACTGAGCCATCTCACCAGCCCAAGGCTCCAAATTCTTCTACAATATTTTTATTGTGTGCTGTGATTTAGATTGGCAGTGTTCCCTGAAAGTCTCCTGTGTTCACAGGTAGGGCTTGCAGAAAGTGACTGGATCATGGGGGCTCTAGCTTCATCCAGCGGCTTGATGGGTCATCATTCGGTGGGGCTGTCTGGACCTCATGGAAACAGGAGGTGGAGCCTTGCGAAGGGAGCAGGGTTGGGGCCACAGCCAGAGGAGTCTGTGGTTCCCGCCCTTCCCTTCTGGCTGTTGGTTTCTCTCTTGGCTCCTGGCTCCCTTGTGGTACACAGCTCTGTAGAAGCAGCTTCCATGGACAGTAACGTCTGAAACAGTGAGTCACAATAAATCCTCCGTGGCAGGTGTTCTGTCCGCATGATGAAAAGCAGGTGAACACGTTCTCCCTTCACAGAGATCTGGAGGGCACAGTGTGCGCTTGGACGCCCCAGCCCTTAGCTCAGCCAGCACTGGGCCAGCCGGCAGCATGGCTGTTAGATGTCGGAAGCCCTGTCGAATCCAGCCTGCTGGTGGTGGCAGCTCAACAGGAGGCAGTGCTTAGAGCAGAGCAAGGAGGCCCCACAGGAGAAGTGCAGGCTTGGCTGGAATCCATCAAGCCTTCCCTCGCCATCTGGGCTGCTAGGAACACAGCCTCAGACTCCACTGCACTGGGCAGGTGCAGTCTCCGGGTGGGGCCTGGAGCTGGCCCCAGCAGGTGCTGCAGCTCATTCTGGGCCACACTGACGCCGCAGTACCACGGGTTTATAGCATTCTTTTGAGGGTTGATTAGGCTGCTAGAAGGGGAGAAGATACTTAATAGGCTAAGGGGTGTGTGTGTGTGTGTGTGTGTGTGTGTGTGACTGAGTGGCATCCCCAGCCCTTTCTGATTTTTACTTTGAGACAGGGTGTTAGTGGGGGTCCTTAAATGGGTACTGCACTGGGACTCCTGTTATTTTAATGAGAGCCACACCATGCGCCCTGCTAGGCTGTGGCTCTGGGGCTCTTGGTAGCCCACCACCTCGCCCTCTTCCCCACACTTTCTATTGCAAAGGAAGTGTGCAAATTAACTGCTAGGTCTGTCACAGTCCACCTTTTTAGACAGACCAGGGAATATTCTGAGCTACTCCTTCTCCTATCTGGGCTCTACACCCTCAACCTAATACTAACGGAGACTCTGTCTGTTCAAGGCTTCCAATAGTGACCTAGAAGCAGCCCAGGCCTCTCCCGAGTCACCAAGCTTTCTCCCCTTCAACGGGCAGTGCAACAGTTCTTCACATACAGGCCCTGGCTGCTTGCTTACTTTCTTCTCCCTCTTCTCTTCTTCCTCCCCCTTTCTTCTTCCTCCCCTTTGCCTCTTGCTCCCCCTCCTCCTTCCCCTTCTCCTGTTTCTCCCCCTCTTCCTCTTCCTCCTCTTTCATTTTTTTGTCTTTTTGCGACAGGGTCTCACTATGTAGCCCAGCCTGGCCTCAAACTCGGAGCAATCCTCCTGCCTCAGCCTCCCAAGTGCTGGGATTACAGGCCTGTGCCGCTATGCCCAGCCACTAGTCAGTTTTCTGAAGGACACTTTAGTATGGGTCAACATCTTTGTAAGAGTGCTTACCTGCATTCTACCTCTAGGAATTTATCTTCAGGGAAAAAGTCAGAGATAGCTTCCAAGATTTGTTTATAAAGATATCATTGACTGAAACCAGAGGAAACTGGAAATGAACCAAAAGGTAAACTATGGAAGGTTGGTTAAATGAACTGTTGCATATTTTCATAATATAATTAATTGAGCCATTTTATATAGTATTGAATATCTTTAAATTTATTATCTATTTATTTGTTTTTTAAAACAGGGTCTCACTATATAGTTCAGGCTGGTCTTGAATTCACTAGGTAGCCTAGGCTGGCCTTGATCTCATAAACACCCTCCTACCACAGCCTCTGTCTTAGTTTCTTCTTCCTCATTGCTGGAACAAAATACTCAACACCCCAAATTAAGGAAGGAAAGGTTTATTTAGCTCACAGTTAGTGGAGGTTTCAGTCCATACTCAGTTGGCTCCCAGGCAGAGTGGCACATGGCAGAGGGCAGCTGTTCATGGCCTCGGAAAACAGCAAAGAGCAAAGGGAGGGACAGCAGCTGTGACAGTTAGCAAGCCTCTCTTCCTTCCTTTTATTTGTATGTAGATTATCTGCCCCAGGGCAGGAGTAGCACGCATACCCATAATCCCAGCATTGGACAATGAATTAATCACAAACTCTAGAAGCTGCCCCATGACTGCATGAGGCCTTGGGGGGACACCTAGACACAAACCACAACAGCCTCTGAGTATTGAAATTATAGGCATGCACCTATAGCACAGCCAGCATACA